TCTTATATGCAATTTTCGAGTGTGGCAACTTCTGCTATTGCTGTTTGCAATACTCGTCATCATGGGCGGAATAGCAGTTCTAGCTGCAATCTTTGGTCCCGGGAAAGCTACTCTTGAAGAAGATTATACAGGTATACGAAATTGAATGTCTCATTTGAAGATGAGTGATTTTGGGAATATATATAACCGTACGGCGTAATATGCGACTAACACAGTCTATATACTGTAAGATTTTACGCCACTAACCCAGTCGGTAGATTAATTATAATAAATTAATATATAATCAAATTATATTACTGGCGTAAAATTTACATTATATATATCACCGACTGAAAGAAATTACGCCGTCAATTACTGGCGTAAAATCTTACATATATACATCACCGACTGGACGAAATAACGCCGTTAGTAATTGGCGTGAAATCTTCTATATATATATATATCACCGACTGAGAGAAATTACGCCGTTAGTTACTGGCGTAAAATCTTCCATATAAGACAACCGACTGGAAGAAATCACGCCGTTAGTTACTGGCGTAAAATCTTCCATATAAGACAACCGACTGGAAGAAATTACGCCGTTAGTTACTGGCGCAAAATCTTACATATAAAGACTACCGACTGGAAGAAATTACGCCGTTAGCTACTGGCGTAAAATCGAACATATAAACACAACCGACTAAGAGAAAGTACGCCGTTAGTTACTGGCGCAAAATCTTCCATATAAAGACTATCGACTGGAAGAAATTACGCTGTTAGTTACTAGCGTAAAATCGTACATAGAAACACAACCGACTGGAAGAAATTATGCCGTTTGCTGCTGGCGTGAAAATTAATTAGCGGGAATGTTTACTCCTTTTTTCCTATCATGTTTTAGCGAGGCCACCTTAGTAAGTGGTGCGACAAATTTTAGCTAAGCTTGAAAAGTGACAAGGTATGGACTGCTTCTACGGACATTTCGTTTGTTACAACTTTCTCACTGTAGAGTCGTATATGTACTCCTACCATAAGCTTTAAAAAAATGATAACAGTCTAGTTTGAATTCGAATGTCTTGTATTACTTTTTTTGTGTGCGTGTGCGTGTGTGTGTTGGGATGTGTTATCGTTTCAGTTCGCATTTTCAAGACCAGTCATTACCCACTTCATCCCTTGCCATTTGAATTTAGACAGAATGCATTATGAGACATTTCACATTCAAAAAACTCTTCATTTCGATATTTGTAGATTTTGGACAGTGCCGTGAGAGTGGTAATAAACAGCACCCACGTCACTGTCTTTTCTGTATTCTTTTATGTTCTTTATATGTACGATTTTACGCCAGTAAATAACGGCGTAATTTCCTCCAGTCGGTAGTCTTTATATGTAAGATTTTGCGCTAGTAACTAACGGCGTAATTTCTTCCAGTCGGTTGCCTTATGGGGGATGATACGCCAGTAACTAACGGCGTAATTTCTTCCAGTCGGTTGTCTTGTATGGAAGATTTCACGCCAATTACTAACGGCGTAATTTCTTCCAGTCGGTTGTGTAATATGGAAGATTTTACGCCAGTAACTAACGACGTTATTTCTTCCAGTCGGTTGTCTTATATGGAAGATTTTACGCCAGTAACTAACGGCGTAATTTCTTCCAGTCGGTTGTGTTTATATGTAAGATTTTACGCTAGTAACTGACGGTGTAATTTCTTTCAGTCGGTTGTCTTATATGGAAGATTTTACGCCAGTAAATAACGGCGTAATTTCTTCCAGTCGGTATATTATATACTGTGAAATTTTATGCCAGTAACTAACGGCGTAATTTCTTCCAGTCAGTAAATTATATACTGTAAGATTTCACGCCGTTAGTTAACGGCTTAAAATCTTACATATATATACACTGACGCACATAGTGGCGTAAAATCTTACAGTCTATGGACTGTGTTAGTCACATATTACGCCGTTATCTAACTACCGAAAATTACCACCTGACAATTGTGTGCGTGCACATGCTTGATAGTATACCAAAACATACGTATCTCTTCGGTATTTGTTTGTTTGTTGTTGTTGTAATTTTTAAAATTTTATTATTATTGGTGTCTATTCAACATATGTTTATTTAGTTGCAATCGAAAATCGTCGTAAGAGTAATGATGCCATGTTCCACGGTTCCGGAAATCAATAACACTTTTCGATGAAATGCAGCCTTTTCTGAATTGGAGCAGTCATCGTTATTTCTATAGCAAAAGATCTTCACCTCGAAGAGGTCTCGATTTTCGAGTGTTTACACTTTTAAAGAAAAGTGTGTTGTACTCACCAACAGAAAAGTGAGCTAGTTAGGTTTTGTTGCTTCCCAAACAATATATTAAATAAGATTTACCGAATAAAAATTCCCCTTAGCGCAATCCTATCAACTATGCCGATTTTAAACGCCGAAGGGCCATTCAAATCACTCACAAACCGTTCAAGAAGCAGTTTTTATATCAGTTGTAACACAAAAATTGTATGTCAAAGACACCGTGATTGATTGATTTTGAGGGCTTCGAAATTAATCAAGTCCTTCATGTGAAAGCTAGTGTCAAAGAGATTAACTTAGAAAACAATGTCTGATGTACGCTTGATATGCACACACGTACATCTATTACTTGACCGGAGTTGGTTGTGCTTGAAAGCGCCTTGACCATGAAAGTTCTTCAAATGTGGTCTATTTAAAAACATAATTTCCTTAAGAGGCTCTTGTTTCATAAGTTTTCCATAAAGATGAGGTGTTGTAGTACTGGTGATGATTCCAACTCAGCTTGACAGGGCACAGTGGGTATTAAAACAATTATATTAGAAAATCAAGACCTCGAGATAGTTTCGAAAACCCTAGAAGGGATAAATGGTCAAGAAAATAACAACAACAACAACAAAAAGGCAAAATAAACAAAACCAAGACAAAACGTTAAAAAAAAAAGCTTAGATATGCGAGACCCTCACTACCCACCTAGCAACTTTGTTTGAACTTGTGACAACTGCTATTTAAACAAAGTATGTGCAACTTGGCTTTCAGGTTAAACAACACGGTTATGAACTTTCCTTGCGTGATCTTTAATGTTAGGTGTTAATTTTCTTTGTCTGCCTCAAATTAGGGATTGATACCTTAACTTTGAAGTAGAACGTCGCAGACAGTGCGTAATGACTTTTAGGAAACTAAATCGCTTACAGAAAGTTTAGATGATAAAGCCCTTCAATTATAAAGTTAATATCATTTTACTTTCCGACAAATTCTAGAATGGGACTCTTCACTTGAAGTGATTTACTCATAGAGAGAGGAAAAAACACTCAACATTTATATTTGTTTACCCTTTTGAAAAATGATAAAAGCACTCGATGTATGCTCGATCTCGTACTAACAGCTTTCCAATGGTTTCCATTTGTAACATGACTTCTGTTAAAGAAATATTGGTCGACGGAAAATTAAGCGTGCATTATATCACAGTAGACCACTAAGAGAAACAGAGAAAACAGGTACATAGTTCGTGATGTTTATTCTTTCATGAGTTTTTTCATCGCAAAAGTGGAAGTCCAATGCCACAAAAAAAAAAAAATATATGTTGACTCTGAGCTGACGTAACGTGGACGCGAAGGAATGGCTGTTTCATGTCAAACTTTTTGTTGAAAGCAGAGGCAGGTGTAAAAAATTTATTTTAAGTTTTCATTCATATTTTGTTCTGGCATTAAATTCCGTTTCTATATAGACAGATTTATTGATCTAGATTTGGCTCTTTCTCTTTAGGCGATTTTATTGCGCGTCGCATGAAGACATTACGAAATACACGTTATTGATAGTAAGGGTCTTCTTTTTTGTAGAAAAACCAGGGTCGAACTAAAAAACGAAGATTATCGCCAAAACGCTTTCTGGGGCCACAGAATTCCTGAAAACGCCCACTATAAATCTTTACTGAGCTTGGTTTTTTTGTTTACACATTTATGTTTCTCCTTGTCGAGTGTTTCTTTTGTTTTGGTTTGTTTTTTACGCTGTGACCCATCAAGTTCTAGCGACGTACCTGCAGCTTCGAACCTTTTAAAGTTAGTACCCTCAAGTTTACATAACTTTCTCGAATTCTCCTAACCTCCTTCGTGTTTAAATGCAGCAATGTAACCACAGACTAAGTCCACTATTGCCTAGTTATTTGTTTTAGTGTGAAGTATCGCTAATTTTTAATATTTAAAGAAGGTACCCGGTTAGATCGCGCCATGGTTAGATCGCTCCCAGTTAGATCACTCCGACCAAAAGTTAGATCGCTCCACTCGAAAGTTAGATAGCTCCACTTGAAAGTTAGATCGCTCCATCAAATAAGTTACTTCGCTACCAACAAAAGTTACTTCACTCTATGTTGTAAAGTTAAGTATTACTTACCAATGATCTTTAAAGTTTATAACTGATGACGTGTCTTGCAACGATTCGAGTACGCCGTATTCACTCTTTCCTTCAGATTAGCCACCGAGCTACCCTGAGACTCACGAAAATAAATTCTTGATTCCGTATTTGCATGTTCTTTCAACTAAATATAAACAATATTGAACCCCGCCACACCTCACTCGCAAAGACACCATCAACAAACGAGACAGCGAATCTGAAAAGTGGCCTGAGAAGGGCTTTGGACAGTGACAGACCTCATTTCTGCTTTTTTAACAGCGGACCCTTTCTCTTTGCGATTTCCTTACATATTTAGGCTTCTCAATTTCTACTTTGACACTGAATACTATGCTATTCTGATGTCGAACTCTTTTACACTAATACATTTCCGTACGCTCGCACGGCCTCTACAATTCCTTCTTTTCGCTTTTCATTCAAAACTAATTAATATAATATTTGATTTATTTCTACTTCTACGTCTTTGAAAACAACGACAGCAATCCATCGTTCCATGAAGAACAGCTTCCCGTCATGGAAAATGACCTTTCATTCCTTATCACAAGTTTCCAGACTTGGTCACACGAGGAACAGCATGGTTCAAAATACCCCGTGGTGAAAATTTTAAGTTCAAACAAAACAAACTATTGTCCCTGCGCCCCTGCGTTTTTAGGCATGATTTTGAGGAAATTCAGAAAAATTGAACGATGCAATAACCAGCCGAACAGTTATGCTAAACGTTGAAAAAACACTAACGGTTTAATAATTCATCGGCGGCGTTACGACAACGACGTATTACATAATTTCGTTCGTCTATTGACGTACAAGCATTTCATCACGTGGAAGCCACTAAGTTTGTCAGATGCGATTTATCATTACTAACACAATGAAAACAACGTAAATATCATAATTCCCCGCAATGTATATGCGATTAGTGAAACTGGAAGCAGGGAATTACAAAGGAGTACTGAACTCTTAACGCTACGTTTGGTTTCTCGGTTTTGTTTCTAGACGGCATAATTTAATGCTAGTATATTAGGGACTGTTAAAATGAAGTGTATTGCATAGTGCGCTGAGAGTTTCACCTCTATAGTGAGATGTTAGAATCGATGGTCAAAAACCGGACAGGAATGGTGTTAATCTTGAGAAAACTACCGCCCCTCCCCCGTAAAAATCAACGCCAGGAAATGGTTGAGATTGATGCATTTTGGTACGGCTTACCAAAACCCAGGTTTCTGATCCTTTTTTAGAACCTGAAACCTGAAGACGGGAGTAATATAATGGGGGGGGGGGGGAAGAAGGGAAGAGAGATGGGAGAACGTGTAACGGGAAGTAGGTCGCAGTGACTCTCTGTCTCCCTCCCTCCCCACCCCCACTGGTTACCGAACCCAGTTAAATTAAGGAAATTAGCACAAAATTCCTCTACAGCATCGCAATTTTCCAGTCGCAAAAATTTGTAGATCCGGAAACTTCCATCGAAAATCCCTAATCCAACCTATCCATTTGCGACCTAGGATGATGCCTATTTGGAGGACTAGGATGTACAACTGCCATTTAATGTCTATATCTGAAAATTATCATCAGAAAGCTTAAGCGACCTTTATAATGGAATCTTCCAACCAGGCCTGTTTGAGAGAACAACAAATACTTGAAAAATAGTCATTAGAAGGAGTAGTTTGAGAAACGAGAAGCGAGAAAATTATCAATATCACAATTATCTTCGTAGAAAAGGTTGTGGTTATTCATCGTGCTGAATAACAATAAAAACTAAGTTTTTCGTTTGTCTCACGATTTAGTCACGTGCATCACACGTGACTACATCGTGAGACAAACGAAAAACTTAGCTTTTATTATCATAACTATCATTATTATTTTTTCAATGCACTGGTAGATTTAATAAATACCATAGCTACGAAATATATCTGATTGATAAGAGGGACGGAAAATAAAGGAAAATTATTTAAAACGAGATTCTTCCCACCAGGAAACCTAGGCAGCCAGAATTAGTGAGGATATCAAAGATGTGAAATTAAAGAGCGAACACCCTAAGTTCCGAGAGGAGAGGGCGAACACTAAGGATAAACCTTTGGCTCCTTATCATAGCATGAGGTCTGTCTTTTCCATATCATTCGCACGTGACAAACGCAATCAAAAGAGTCATCTCAGTAGTCAAAACTTCAAAGTCTGAAGAACGTACTGTTAAGATTATTGCTCAAACTGCTCGAAATGTCTGCTGAACATCTACGGCCACTCGAACCTTCATTCACTCTTACAATCGACGAGGATGGAGATCATGTTGCGAAAGACCGATTCTCTTCGGCAAGCTGCGATTGTTGTCACAAAAGATATTTTATATGCAATTTTCGAGCTCGAGTGTGGCAACTTTGGTTATTGCTGCTAGCAATACTCGTAATTATTGGCATAATAATAGGTGTAGCTGCAATCTTTGGTTCCGGAAAAGCTACTCTTCAAGAACATTTCAGAGGTATTTAAAATTAAACATCTCATTTAAAGATGAGTGATTTTATTTAGAGTTACGATGTCTGTCCGCACAATCATGTATTGAAGAAATAAGAAGTTAACGTTAGTTTAAAATTTCGCTGTGCCATTTTGAGGTTTTAACTCAAGATCCACCTTTTCTGAGACTCAGGTAATTAAAATCATATTCTTTAAATGTAAACCTTTTTTCCGACTCGGACCGTTCGAGAAAACAGACGTACTCTCTTTCAGTTCCTCTGAGTTCACTAGGAACACAATCAATCAATTCAAACTGCCAGGTCTTTCAGACGCATCACTATCGTCATCGGACGCCTTGTTCTCTTCGGGAACACGTTCTGGCTCAGAATGATATGGTCCTACAGCAGCCACGTATTTCACGGCAAGGTAGAGCTCAATGACGTCACGCAAGATGGCGGCGTTGTTGCTCGAGTTTTAGTTCATTCATTCTGAAAGTAATGATTGAGGTACTGAAGTGAAGCAGATGTTGACGGAAGTTGTCGACCGTGAACGGAAGTTGCATTGGAGACCGTGAACGGAAGTAATCTCGCATGCTACCCCTCCCCACTTAGTGAAAGTCAAAATTAATTTCGATGAAGGTCAGAAACTCACGTGAAAAGAAATAAAATGTTTGTATGGTTTAATAAAATAATAAGCCAAATCACATTTCCGAACTTCTAAAACTGCAACTTGAATCGAGAAGCCGAAATTTTTACACCCAGGGGACCCGTAGCGGGTTCATTTCAACACACGCTGTCACCACGCAGAAGAACATCAGCAGCCTTATTGGTAAGCCAAGCATTTGCGTTCGTCTTCAGTTGGTATTAAGTAATCATTGCTCTATCATTGTGCTTGTCCACGGGAGCTCTTCAACATACAGTCTTTACATTAATCATAGCGGCCAAGATAGTCTCACTTAAATTTTGTTTTGAGCTCCAATATTTCGGTCCGGACTTAAGGCTCGCTCGAACAAAAACAGCAATACCAATCTCGTCAGTACAAAATGCAGACTGCAGACTGAAGACTGCAGAACGGGTACAAAATGCAGACTGCAGACTGGGTACAAAATGCAGTAGACTTAGAAATTATACCATTTTTTCGTTTGATACGTGGTAATATGTCATCTTACAACTTACCGAGCGTCACGCAATCGCTTCTCCGCGATCATATTTGCACTATTGTGGAATATTCCTTGCCCGCTTCTTGATCACAATCGTTCCTAATATAATTTCAAGCCTTCATATAGTCCTCTCACTTTGTGTGCGAGATGTCTGTACAGAATTCACCAAGTTAATAAAAGCAGATGTAGATGTAAATGAGGTGTCACTTGAATATTTATCACGCGCAAGATTAGGGAAATAATTGACAGCTTTGCACGTGGTATATACGTTTCATCTTTTTAACCGATATGTGTAATTTTGTTGACAAAAATGCGGACTGAGATCAAAACTGTTCCTTCGGATTGATATATTTTCAACGTTCAGGGGTTTACACAAACTGATTTTGACTTATGTGTCGTATATTGTTATTGGCTTGCATGAGGAACCAGCGAATTTTTGTAGGGAAAAAGCGAAGCGTTGGTTTCGTGACTGGCCATTTGTTTACTTTTCAGGTGGTTGTATCTCTTATCCGTTCGGTGACTACGCAAATATTAATATGTGAAAATCAGACTATATGAAGGCTTGAAATTCTCAAGAAACAGGAAAGGAATATTTCACAATAGTGCACATGATCGTGAAAGATTAGGGTTGTTAATATTTTGCTGCTAGAGCAACCTTTGATGTCTGATTATGCCCACCCAGCCCACCCTCCGCCCCACAAACACCCACACACACATCAACAAAAAGGACACTGTCTGCCCAGTAACCTCTGCCCCTTCCACCTCCAACCCACACAACCTTTTTTCCAATTCCCATCATGACGAATGCACAAGTTTTGTTATCACACAACTGCCCAAAAATTAAAGAAAATTTATTCCTTGAAAGTTCACATTAACCGAATTCAATATCAACAAGTCCAAGAAATCAATACAACTTAAGCCATAACATGAATGAGCTGGCTCCAAGATCCCCTTGATTTAGCAATAACGACTGCTAAGACAGTACCAACAGAAATTTGGCAACAGCTAAAGAAACTGAACCGCCATCTAGCCAAAGACTAACAGCTATTCAGGCGACAACCGCGAAAGTTTAAACTTTTGCTACGATAACTGATATAGAGCATCAACCACACCTGGTCCAAAAAAATCCGTAAAAAAAGTACAAATATCACTGCAACTCCCATTTCGGAAGCAACAGACCAACCCCCGCCCCCAGTATGGATGAAATATGGGCGGGAGGCGGGATGATGCTGCTGATGATGTTTCTGTTTTTTCATTACTTCATCAGGTGGTGAAGATACTACCACAGCACAACCAACAACCACAAAGAAAGCAACGACTGGAGCCCCATCAGCAACCACTGCTCCGACAACCACAGCGCAGCCAAGAACCCCAGAAAAACTAACAACTTCTGCTCCACCAACAACAACTGCTCCAGCAACCACAGCACAAACAATAACCACAGAAGAAGCGACAACCACTGCTCAAGCAACCACAGCGCAGCCAATAACCACAGAAAAACCAACAACCACTACTCCAACAACCACAGCAAAATCAACAAAACCAACAAGTACTGCACCAACAACCACAACACAACCAACAATCACAGGAAATCCAACAACTTCTGTTCCACCAACAACCACTGCACCAACAACCACAGCACAACCAACAACCACAGCACAACCAACAACCACCGCACAACCAACAACCACAGCACAACCAACAACCACAGCACAACCAACAACCACAGCACAACCAACAACCACAAAAAATCCAACAACTACTGTTCCATCAACAACCATTGCTCCAACAACCTAAACAACCTCTTGAGAAGGAGAGAAAAATGAGTTGCCAAAGAAAGAACGCCAATTTTGCACACCTTTGACAGGGTCATTTCTGAGCTTTTTGTTTTTTTCCTTTTTTTTGTTTTAAGATTCTTTCATTGTCATTATTTAATGACGTAAGTTTTTTCAGAAGCCCGGGGCCAACTTTAACTGAACGACTATTCGGCAATGGGCGAGACGATCTCTGACCGGACAGGATGTGTTCTTGGTGAACACAGCGTATTTCGATCTCGGTGGATATTTGGAATACACCATACAATCAGCTTTTGAGGTCGTAAAAGAAAGTTGGAATGCTACGCTTGTAAGTGATATATACGATCCGTAAAGGCGCTGAATACTTGGATTTTCTGGTTGATAATGGTGGCATGAAACGAAAATAATGTGTTTGAAAAATATTTGATATAGATAGGAAGGTGTCGGTAGTTTGGCGTTTAGAGGCGCTTTAAATTAGTGAAAAATTACGCTAGTTTTTATAAAAAACCGCATGAATTTAACTCGTGTCTTGAAAGACACCATGACACCAAATAAAAAAATTAAAATGAGTAAAGTGAACTAGGTACCATTTGAGGAAGAATTTGGTTAAAAAGAGACTGGGTCAAAATGTTTGCCGAAAGATATCGAATTCTTTCCTGGAAAATGCCTTTTAATTCAAAAAATATACAGATAGATTCGAATCAGCTTTGTAAATATGGATAAACTTTTAATTCTGATATATCTCAACTGCATTAGACTTCTTCATTTACGTCAATAGGATCATTTAATTTTTTCCTCCATCATTTTTACTGGTAATATATGGCTTTGTCCATTGTCATTATGCATAGCACAATCAGTGTGATCTCTATGCATTTATAAAGAGATGTAAAACTTATTCGTTTGTTAGGGAAAGAAGAAAAACGTCATGGAGTGTTAATGACAGATTTAAATAATTAATAAAGTATTCTCTTTCATTACCTGTCCCGCAAGGGTCTTGTTAGTTTGTGTATTTGCATTTTAAAAATCTCTTGTTTTGAAAACGCCTTAAGTAGTGTTCATGCTCGGTTTCGTTTGCGGAAGGGGCCCCGATGAAGTTCACCTTTGAAACGTTTGAAATCTTGTTTGACAGGTTCATGTTTCATGAGCCAATCAAACGAGAGCGCTTCGCAGGACCTATCACAAATCGCCTCTTCAGTTTTTCGCTTTTCTGTCCTAAAAGAACGTTTCGGTGGATAGTATCGCTGAGTTATTTTACTCGTTCGGTAGAATTCCTTAAAAATACAGAGCAATACTACACAACAAAACGTTTCATGAGATATATCTATTGCTTGAGCTCTAACTAAAAAGATTAAATGTTCTTGAAGATCATATGAAATTCAGGCGCAACCACAGACATCATACCTTCATAAATAATGACAGATTTCTGAGATAATAGTCTTTAATGAAATAAATGTTATCTGGGCTTCGAATGAAAATCAAGTACACCAATTTTTCTCGCAAGAGAGCTGCAATTCCTCCACGGGAGTTTGTTGGGCCGAAACAAAAACTTTCACTCCTAAGCTGGAGCGAACACGCTCTACTGATACTTGATTGATACTGGTTCAAAATGTAACCTGTTCATTAAATGACAGATATCTTCATGTGAAGACAATTTTATTGCTAAAATAAAAGGTACAAAATAGCCTGACATGCCCAGTGATCTATATGAATTTCATTAAAGTTTCAAAGTTTTCCCTCGTAGATGTAAGACAGAAATTAAAAAGTTTAACACCATCAGGTAAATACCAACTATTACAAATCCCTTCAGTGGAGTACAGAATATTGTCTTTATGGAAAAGTTCACCATTCCCGTTAATACATTTGAAAGCAAAAAGAACAAAAGCTGATTTCGGTTAACAGCTGATATGAAACATGTGCATGGCATCTTCTGCTTGGTCCGTGACGTTTTGCCATTCTCATCCGAGACTTTTCCGGGATAACAAACGTGACAGCCTCCAGTTATTGCGCCTTCAAGCAAGCCCAGGTGATTTGCAGTGGCTATCAGTATATCACAAAGCAAGAACTCTGAGATAAGTTGAACATTGTATCCCACCTAAAGAGGAACAAAACATACATAAGCAACAACATAATTGGAAGAATGACTTTTTGGAGGTTACGGTTACCGTCGGCTGTTTGAATAAAGTTTCTTCAAAATGGCAGCTTAAGGTAACAGGGCCAGTGACAAACATGTACGTAAAATCCATGGTCTGGCTGGGACTTAACCCTTTAACTCCAAGATCTGATTGTAAATTCTCCCCTCTAGCTGCTACACATTTCCTCATAAATTAGTCACAAGAATTTGGTTTTAAATCAGGATAACAACTTCTACCTGATACGTTTGAGTATTCTCATTACCCGTTTACAGGATAGTATATGGATATCTCAGGGAGAAGTTACAGGTTAATCACATATGGGAGTCGAAGGGTTAGTGCATATGCATAGCATAAATTTTACTTCACTAGCTCTAAATCATATTGTAAACCTAGCAATGTGGAAGCAAAACAAAACCAATGCTGAAAAAACAGCTGACAAGTATCCTTGATTTGGCTACCTCATCAACAGGGGTATCAATAACTTTTTTCAGAAGCAACTCTAGGTGGTGTAATAGGTAACTTTGCCCAAAGGAGGGGCCGTAAGGCAAACCACTAACACGAGAACCTACTCGCAGGCTTAACAGACCATGGTAAGAGGTCAACAGTGTAAAATCCCTGTTATCAAATGCCACTTAGCTGTGTTTTGCTACTACAGTACAGTAAATTAATTTGACAGTTGGAGATATGACAGTGATCTACATGATTGAGGTAGAACATCTATGATACTCCTAATCCTACAAACAAATGCAACAGTAAATGGATATGAATGTTTCCAGACTGCCATTTGTTTGCATCAACATGAAATTTCCAATGCTTGCTATTTCTTCCATTCATGTTCTTGACATGAAAATTCAATTTTGTTATAACTAGTTTTCAGATTTGGTAACCTTATTAGCACACCACAGTACCTACCACCTGACACAAGAAACAGCATTGTTCAAAATACTATGTAATAAAAATTAAATAAGTTCATACAACTTAAGTTATTGGAGATATGTATGTTATTTTATTGGTGTGGATTTCATGTGTGCTTTTATTATTATTTATCAGAGTTATAGTTTTTGCTGTCATTTTGTTATGAAGTCTACATTGTCCTGCAAACATACCTGCCACAGGACAAAAGATAAGTTTGCCATTCTTCTTGAAATAGGGCTGACAAACTGCTGTGATATATGAACCAATGCATAAAATGTAACATCAATGGTGACTAGGATTAAAAACGCTTTGATCCACTGCCCTACAGTGTTCCTAAAAAGCAACAGAAGAGGATCATAAAAAGTCTTACACAGATACATTCAATGATTACCTGAGGTACTTAACAAACAGTTTGGATGTAACAATATATTAGTTAATTGGCTATATTATCTTATGCTGGTGTTCTTTGTTTTGACTAGACATCCCGTTGCCGTCTTTCAACCTGTTAACTCCCACATCAAATTTGCAATTGTCCTTAATGTCAACCATACAATTCTTACAACATTAGTTCTGAGAATTTAGTATTGGATCAATTAATTATCCCCAAATTGATATTTTTCTTTGTTCTTGTCACTTACCAGATTAATATTGTATTGATATTGTAAGGAGAAATTCTGTTTGGTCACTCATGGGACTTAAAGGGTTAAGACACGATTGCTTTAAAAAAATGTTAGAGGGGGTTACAAACTAAATTAGGTAGAATTTTTGCTGGAACAAGAGACAGGACTTCAGTAAAAGGAAAAATACAAGACAGTGTTCCCCTCAGATGTTGAACCTAAACTTATGAGTATGAGCAGAACTTTTTAGTCAATAGAGTCAGACATGCAAATCAGTCAAAACAGACCCAAAAAATACACCAGAGCCACATGAACTGTGCAGAGATGGAGCAATCACCAAAATATCTTATCGCTTATTTCTAATGACTCATGGAAATGATTTTGCTTAGAAAAAATGAATGCTCAAAGTTTACACTTTCAGGTGACTAGATGTCTGTGAGAAACAACCTACATACACTTCCAGGAATTAAATGATGATCTAACGCTTTTGCACAACTATAAACTTGCTTTGCATACTTTGGTGGTGCCTGACATGAGAAGCCAAGCACAGAGGAAGAGCATGAACCATCTTACATTTATGAAATCAAAGCTTAACCCCACATAAACTCTTACCGTTTACAAAAGAGAAATTTTCCAAACTGAACAGCAATAAGGTAGAGAGCTAAATAACCAACACACGAACATAGGCCTTCTCTATTTGCATCCAGTAATCCTTGACGTGATCCATCTCCTTGTGTTCCATTTAATATAAACTCTCTCAAACCACCCATGCTAAGGAGGTATTGATACAAGACAGCTAAAATAATTCCTGTTACACCATACCAGCTGTGACCAGGGATGAATCTAACAAGCACAGTTGACATAACCTACAAGGTGAGAAAATGAAGATGTAAATGAAGATGAATAAATAAAAGAGGGAGTGCCAGAATGCATGAATGAAGGATTGCCAATTGAGTGAGACCTGGACAGATGGAAGGAGTGATTGGATGAATGAAAGAATACACAAATGGACTTAATGAATGACTGACTAAAAGAGAGTAAGAGAGACGGAAAGAAAGAGACAGAAAGAATGACAAAATAAAGAATGAAGGAATAAAAGAACAACTGAAAAAAGAAAGAAACAAAGAAAGAACAAATGAATAAATGAATCAATGAATTAATTAATTAACCCTTAAACTCCCATGAGTGACCAAGACAGAATTTCTCCTTACAATATCAATGCAATATCGACCAAATAAGTGATGGGAATAAAGAAAAAGTAATTAGTTGATCCAATTCTAAATTCTCTGACTACTAACATTAAAAGAATAGTATGGTTGACAGTAAGGAGAATTTCAAATTTGATCTGGGAGTTAGAGGGTTAATGAAAGAATGAAAGATGAATGAAAGAAAGAAAAAAAACACTTCTAGTCAGACCTGCACTTCAGACAGTAAAAAAGTTTTTGCTTTGAGTTCTAATGAGCTTCTTGCAATATTTTGCTTTACTGTGATGTATTATTGAGATCACTTTGGTTATGGTTTTACCACACTTAGTTGAAAAGTGTACCATTGAAAAAACTATTTACTGAGTAATTTATAGTAAAAGAACATTTTTTTACTCACCCTTACAACAAATAAAGTGAAGAAAAAGTTCCAGTGAACCCCGTACTCACTTGCATGCTCTTGATAATCTGTTCCTTTGACAGAAATCAGACGCAAAAAACCAAGTACTAGTAATGGTAAAGAAGACCTCAAAGATCTAAATAGCACCCCGAAAAAGCTGCTCACTGTTTCAGTTGAATGAACATTTCTTGCTTCTTGTGATACTATAGCATTAGAAAATATAAATGCTCCAACTCCCATGTCCATCAGTCCACTTCCATATGTTTCTGCTTTGGCGAAGCGCCGAGGAAATATGACAAAGTCAACAGCAAGTATACAGATGGCTGTAGCAATCACTACATACGCTCTGAAGCTTCCAATAAAAGGCAGTCTTCCAGACATGTCAGCAGATAGTATTGCTTGAAATTTCTGTTTTTGAAGTTTACTGGTGTTCAATGCTTGCAAAAACAACATTCCCATTGATAGACAAAAACAGGTTGTAATTAGCATATTTATGTGATCAGCCAGAATGGTCAGTGCCAGGAATGAGGGGACCACCAGGGTACAATACTCCAACAGAAAGACTACGCTACAAAAGAAAACAAAGTCAACAAAAATATGTTCTACTCGACAAAAAGTTCATTTCAACAGTTTCTTTTAACCCTTTCCACCCTAACATAAGCATGCATATTTTCCATACTGTTCCCAATATATTACCTCAGGAGCTGATGAGAAGAAATTGTGTCATAATCCAGAACTTCTTTAGTTGGTAACCATTTCCTTTATTCTTGTTACCTTAATGTGTGATTTAGGGGCGATATTGTAAGGAGAAATTAGATGCTAGTCACTGTTACGGATTAAAAGGTTAAGGTACTGGGTCTAATACTCAAAAGCAACTGCAGCACCTAGGGCCTGGGATAGAACTATGGACAGAAGAAAACATCTGTTAACCATTTAATTCAAAGAAGTGATTAACATGTAACTTCTCCCTACAATATCCATACATTATCCAGAAAACAGGTAATGAGAATATTCAAACTTATTGGGTAGAAGTTATCTTGATCTAACACCAAATTCTCGTAATTAATTTACATAGAAATATGTAGCAGCGAGAAGGGAGAATTGACAATCAGATCATGGGAGGAAAAGGGTTGCAAGTTACAAATTATGCTGCTTGTTGCCAAATTCATTTCAGTTTCTTTGATTTTCAACACAAACTTTGTAAAACCTTCCATATTTCCATTTACAATGCTGAGTTTTGAAAACATGCTAAGTTTTAGTGGTGCCTGTTACCAACTTCCAATGCATGAAATTATGGAGCCCAAAACTTGCCAAAATTCATATCTCTTATGAGAATTACCATCAGTTTAGGATCCCATAATTTCATAAGTTTGCCAGGGACTGTCATGAAACTTCCTAGGTTTTAAAAACTCTCGTTGATCTATTGGACAACTAGGCAGATTTTTCCTTGATGGAGAGGAAATCGAAAAGCGTGGACTCATCGAAGTAGTCCATATCATACAGCCAGCTATTCTATACTCGAAGTTGAGTCTAAGCGCTCGAAAATTGGCATAGCTAGCAGAAAATTTCCGCTGCTAGTTTCTTTTCTTAAAAATCCGAATTTATTAGGCATATCAGCAGAAAACTTGTATCGAGTTGGAAATCTACAGCTAGCGCACCGATTAAAAACACTTTTTCCTTGAAATACAGCAGTTTTTAAATGAGAACAGTCATCGTTATTTCCATAGCAAAATATCTTCAGCTCGATTTTTTTTTATCACTACTGTAAGAGATCTCCATTTTCGAGTGTTTGCACTTTCAAAGAAAAGTGTGTTATACTCACCAACAGAAGACTGAACCAATAAGGTTTTCTTGCTTCGCAAACAATATATTAAATAAGATTGACCTAAGAAAAATACCAATTGGCGCAGCACTAGCAACTTTGCCGATTTCAAACACCGATGTGCCATTCAAATCACTCACAAACCGTTCATGAAGCTGTTTATAAGTGACATTCGACGGAACGTCTGGATTATCCGCCATTTTTGTTCAACCAGTGACCGAGATCCAAACCGGGGGAGTCGGGGAGAGTACTGTCCTGATTCATCCCCAGTCTTTTCGAGTGCATACGCTTAGAACGCCTGATGATTTTGATCATCATCGTCTTCATCGCTGAGCTAAATGTAACGCGGTAAATATTCCTTGCGTCAGCTATGAGTCATAAGGAACTGATCAAGCAGTTTTTTACTCTTCAAGAAGAAAGGGTAAAGACGTACAGAACATTTGACAGGTAAATCTTGCTTTCCATCATTTAGGGTAAAGCACCTTCCTTAATTGAAAGCACGTTGTGCCGTTCCGTGCATTTTTTTGCATTCTTTCACAGGCAGCCCAAGCTCCAGCTGTGAGATGATTATCTTACGCAATAACGGTCATGGCGGAATTATAAGAGTTTGTATGAGAATATTTACGACCGCTCTAAGGAATAAAAAAATACGTCAAATTCTCAAAAAAAAATACCTCACCTCGCTTCCACAGCGTATTGCTTGTTATCTGACCGCTTACTTTGATGAAAAGAGCCCATTTGAGCGAGTTGTTCATTTCGAGGTTTTCAACGTACATAAGAAAAGCCCAAGGCTGAACACTCCATTTCCGAACTTTCCTTGTCAAATTCTCGGAAACGTTTTGTTTTATGAGAAGTGTTGGAGCTAAGAATGGTTATAGTTTTGTTGTTGTCGTTGTTGCTGTTATCGTTGTTGTTGTTGTCGTTGTTTGTTGGTTTGCTTTTGTATTTTTTGTGACCAAATTTGTTGTTCATTCTCTTTCAGTGGTTTCAAAGAATATCTTGAGAGTGCTCCTGACTATGACTTCCCATCATATCGGCAACTGGTGCATGACATAACACAGAAATTCAATAAGATATCGAGTGATGTTATTACAATTGAAACAAAGTTTAGGGAGGCTGGATATACCAGTATTGCAGAACTAATCAGAAAAATTCAACTGAAAGGAAAAGAGAAACTGGAACTGGTAAGTGAGCAAATGAAGGTTAAAAAAAAAAAAGATTTCCTCACCAGTTCTTTTACCAAAAATCTCCTTACAATTGATTTGGTTTGTTCTTGTTTCTACTTTTTCCTCTGACTTTTTGAACATTAAGAGTGACTAAGCATCTAATTTCCCATTACAGTATCACTTTTGAACATAGTTAATCGAGGGGACTATGTTTTGAATCACCAATTAACTCTTTAACCCCTTAGAGTGACTAGCATCTAATTTCTCCCTACATTATCTCCACTGAATCACACATTGATGTCATGAGAATAAAGGAAATAATCACCAACTAAAGAAACTTTTGATTGTTGAACAAATTCTCTTTGTCAGCACATTAATAAATGTGCAGAGAATAGTGTGGAGAATATGAATACTGATGTTAGTCTGTAAAGGGTTAAGCTCATGAGTATTATGAAAATGATTGATCACCAGCTAAAGAAGCTCTTGATTGTTAAAGAAATTCTACTTGTTAGCACCTTTAAGGGAATGTACTGGTATAGAACAGTATAGAGAATATGCATACTGATTTTCAAGTGCGATGGGTTAAGACTGCTATTAAAGCCATAGAGCAAAATTTCCCAGCTGTTACATGCACATTATGAAAACCTAGGTGGTAATCATGAGATCATTGATTTACATATGTTAGGGGTTCCTCAAGTATCATAAGTGTTTTTTTTCTAAACAGCTTTATTGGGTATGATTCATATTATACTAATACACTAAATAAATACAATATACAATATAAATGGAAAATACAAGATACAAAAAGAATAGTTATTATTATCCCTTTGCTCTGACGAAGGGCTAATGCTTGAATTGTCAGCTTTTTTATGCTTTACGGTGGCCAATTTACGGCACTGCCCCTGAGATAAAAAAAAAAAAAAAAGAAAGAAAAAAGAATTACAAAGCATGGTAGACATTATTCATCATACAGAAAAAAAAAAAAATTGAGTGGGAAATGGGTGGTATTACTTCAATGGCAGCTCTGAAGAAAAAAAGAAAAAGGTCTTGGGAGATATTGGTGAACAGAACGTGTAAGGAATATTTTCTTCTTGGAAGCTTTGGTAGGAAGACATATTGTTCATTATTATATGACAGGTTACAAGGCAACCTTACTACCAAATTATCAACCTTTGCTGGAAAACTTTCTCCTTGCCATTATAAATGATATGAATCATTTTCAATTATTGCACTTAAAAGTTAAAGTAGTAGCAAATAAGTAGTTTATGTGAGCATTTATCATTATTATAAAGCATCTATTTATTATTATTAGATAAAGTTTTAATTGTATGTAAAATTAACCCTTTTATTTATTAGACAGCTCAGTTCCAAATAGCACAACAAAATTCTGCATCAGATCCTTCCTATGAAAGTAAAGCTGATGAGACAACAGCAGTTAAGTTAAGGTAATGACACCTTGCTCTTTGGTATTAAAAAAAAATCCAGATTTTTTTCTTTGTCCCATGCTGGTGACAAGACAAAAACATCTATTTTTTTACCAAGCTCAAAACTTCCCATCTTTCTTATCCTATTTCCAAAAAAATGTTGTTCATCGTGATTTTGTAAATAAATGAACATTTTATCGTTTATCTCACGGTATAGAGTTAGTCTATTCTATTATATTGATCACAATGTTTTGACTGCAGTGTATTTTCTAGTTTACCTCGTTTTTATTTTATAGCCTTCTTTAGACAGTTTCTTGAGTGTAAGAACTCATTGGGTCAGAACATCATAATGTAGCTCCCTTGTTTTAAGTTTATTGAGGAATGATGTTTTTTTTTCAGTCTACAGAAGCTTGTGGATCTCATTGTTGAACTCCTAGAAGAATTGAAATATGAAGCTGAAGACATTCTGCTAGAAGACACTTAACACCGTGCGAGCTACCCAACGATTTTTGTTCAGTCAGCTCAAAACAAAGGGATCCGCTGAGCGAAGCATTTTGGCAACCACGCTCAATAAACAGTGCATAATTGGGAAAAAAATGTAAATTGACGCAATTTCAATCCATTTTTTCTCGAGTTGTGGGTTGTATAAATTATATCATGAAATATTGACTGTCAGGCAGCCGATGGTCGGTAATCTGTCGGTAAGTTTTCGTACCTAAAAGAGGTTCGCAGAGCATCGTTGGGCGACTTGATATGCTTCATTGTTCGAGAGATCGCAGCAGAAATGATGGCCAAGTGGATATCAGCTGGCATAGGGCATTTGTTTCAGCGGCCAACGTGTTTTGAGGAAAAAAAAACACTGGGATCCGTTTCTGATGGAATTGAATTTATTTTAAACTGATTTATTCCCTTTTCGTTCGAACGAAAACACTTTGAGCTTAAGTCACGGTAATCTTTACACGGTGTACATAATTTATAGAGGTTATAAGTTTAAGTAGGGTCTACCTGGTACTGGTGCCACTAAAAACTGTTTTAAAAAAAGGCCTTTCATGTATTCTTTCAACGACATAGTTTTTAATGTCTTGCGTGCACGTTTAGTAAATTAGTCGACAGTTTTGCAGTTCTTTCACATCCGCAGGGTTTGGTTTTGCTTTGTTCGGGTTGGAAATCGTGTAAAATTTAGCCCTACTTCCTTACGTTCTTCTCTTGTAATCCATGTTAAACCTCTCTTTCCTTGGCTGTTTTCTGTTCTATTATTACCTTTTTGGGATCTTAAAATATTCCGGAATTTATGTTTTGTGGTTTTCTCCAAAATGAGGGTAGTTTTTCAAGTCTTAAAACTTTCTTGGAATATTTAAGCAATAGACAGCATTTCCTATCGGTTTACTGGTGTAACAACCCATACGGGATGTCGCGCGGGAGAACAGACGGGTGCCAAATTGATTTTAAAATATTATTTCCGTTTTACAAACTTTAATTTCCAATGGGTTTACCGTTTAAACTGAAGGCTTTTGACTAATCAATTCTATACTGTGAGATAGCCTATATATTCCCACAATTTTCAAATACTTCAGCGAATGAAAAAAAAACCTTCATTGAAGAAGAAAGGTTTTTCATCACTAGCTTTCTATTTCTGCCTTTCGCAACGGAACTCAAGGCACAAAATGATGTGATTTGGAGAGAAAATCTATTCATAAGCCATGATATCGATGTTAGCCCCAGCAGCACAAATGATTTACCCTCTCGACACTTCTGATCCTTTTCATTTCCTTCAAATTTTTTCATCAGCGCAAACTCAACGGCTCGGCACGCTGAGGAAGGAGAGCACGAAAAAAGGGTATTCGTTGATTGACGTAAAATGATGAACCGGTTTCGCTCACAATTTTGGAGTCGCTATGTCTCGAGGCAATAAAATACACGTCATGTCGCATTTTTTTTCGAAGCAACATGGCACCGTTTGGTTGCGTGGGGAACGAGAATAAAAACAAATAAGCTTTTAAGTTGAGTGTTATTGGACCGGGGTAATTATCACAGCCAATTAAAGCCATGCAAATTTTATGAGAACCAATGAGAGCTCAAATTAAGTCATGGAAAGTGCGCGAGGCGCGGCGCGCGGAAAGGCAAGTGACTAAGTCGTGTTTCAGGGCCTACTCTTGAAACTGATTTGTGAGGAAAATGTCACGAACTGTCTAGATCAATCATAGAGCGAAGAGAATCCTTTGCAATCGTGGATTGCCTTAGCTTTGTAAGACTCCATGTCTGAGAAAAATTTGCAACGAAATTTATCAACTTTAGACGGCTGTCTAAGGATAAATTACTTCAACCGAAAAATGCCAAAAGAATTAGAATAAGACTTCAGACCTGAGAAGGAGGAAAAATGTAATGTGTTTCTGTAGAATATCCAAAACTGTGACCAGACAACTTGCAAAAAAACGCGTCAGAGTGCGTGAGCCAGAAAGACCGCTGGTATATATTTTCAAAATAGATATCATTTTTTTTTTCCTCGGAAATTGCTCATTTGTTTATAAGTGATATTTTATATTGGCCATAGTGAATTTTTTGTATTGGTAGAAATTTTAGACCACTTAGCCTCGATAAATATTTCAATATCCGCTTTAAAAAAATTGTTTTTTTTTTTTGTTTTTTTGTTTTAGAAAAATGGCCTTTTTACGTAAAAAATCATTAAATGAGCTTAGGGGTTACAAACGTTTATTTGGATATCATCACGAATTCCGTTGCTCTTTCCATAGTCACGTGGACACTTACGTAGACCACAGGAGCAAAAACAAAAGAGCCTGGACCCGACTGTAAATTCTGAGCCCACGCTCTTTCTTTCCCAAGGGAAACCGCAATTTTGCGATGAAGAAATATAATTTCAGTTACAAATGCACGTGTAATCTTGTTTTGTAACCCTGACGTGCTATCTAAGCAGACAAATTCCCATGGATTACCCGATGAGCGCTAAAATAGCGGTGAAGTCGCAGTCCTTTCGGAACTGTCGAATTCAAATTATCAAAGGAGAGTATTCACTTTCGACGCAAGACGGGGGAGATTGTGTTGTCGATGTTTTCGGAGATCCTGGTAGCGGTTCACTTGATATTCGTGTCAGAAGTGGTAAGTTGACCGACACCTTTTGGTGTATTTTGAAACAACTAAACAACTAAATCTAGAGCTTTGTAGAACGTGCGTTTTCAAATTGTTTTTCTTCCCAGGCAATGAATACATGCCAAGTTTTAGAGTGACGAAAAACACAGACCACAGCCAAATGGGTCGGCTGAGGTACCTTATAGATCTTCCCGAGCAGAACTTTAGTGTTCTTCTGAGTTTTTCGCACAGAGAAGGTAAGCCTTTGTTTCTATAAAATTCACGTTACAGTCGAACTAGAGTAAAAGTGAAAGAATCTCAAGGTTTTTTGATGGGGAACAATGAATAGTTATAAACTCATGCTACTGTAGCGAGCTCATGCATAATACATACCGCTAGATTTATGGTATATATTTGACAACGATGCAAGTATTTTTAACATTTTGATTGTAGCTAAGTGCTTTGAAAGAATAGAGTAGCTTTAGGCTATGTAATTACCCATACCTCATTGATTTAATTACGAAAGGTTTTCATTCAGGTGGGATGGAAAAATTTCCTTTTTCCTGCTTACCAATAATTAATCCTCTCTCAAACTGCGCAAATAATGTACGAGAAGACTTTGGAATAACGTTTTCTTTTATCTATTTTTAAAATGCCGGAGGAAGGTGTGGGAAGATAAATAACATTATTGGTTTAAGTAAAACAAGGAGCTCTTTCAAGGTTCCATATTTGCTAATTGCAATGTGGAAACATATTGCTAAATTACAGAGTAGTTTAAAATTAGTCTGATGTTCATCAGCTGTGCGGTTTTAGAAAGATGGTGCCTTATTCATTAAAACGTGTCTAGTTAATCGATTTTTTCACAACTATATGACAAGTTAAATGCTGTGTCAAAAATAACTCGCTCTCTCGTCTCAGTCTGTTTTCACATCCATTTTTTCATGTCACGGTTATCAATCTTTTACTAACACTGTATTCATATCCAGAGAAAAAGACAGGCTGTAATTTGTCTAAAAGCAGTTGTGTAAAATAAACATTCAGTGGTGTGAGAAGGAAGAGAGTGGATATTTTAAGAGAAAATAGTGCGTGCTCTTGTGCAGCTGTATTGTGCAAGTTTCACTTTTGATAGGAGAGATAATCATGAAATGGTCCACAACCTTATCATTAGGACCCAGCTTGTGTTGTTTTAAAAAGCACTTCTTATACACTTTTATTTTGGTTTTGTTTAACTGAAATTTTAAAGATAATGGTATAATCTGTACCTTCACCAATTGTCCCATCCAGTGAAATCTTATCCAGGTTTCTTATCTGCTTGTTTTCCTGTCATTGCACTGCACATATCAAACATAATCAATAATTTTTACTTTTAGTGGTATTTCCTGCTTCTTTGGATAATACAGGGTTATATGACATTTCAGTAACCACTGTTTATTTAGGTAGCTAGTTTCATGAGGGTCAGTTGAAACCCATTAGAACTACCTCCTTGCCACAAAGTTTCTCATTATGATAAAACATTTACAAACTCAGTATGCATATTCTCCATATTGTTCTCCTTACATTTTGTATGACACTGACAAGGAGACTTTGTTTGACAATCAAGAGCTTCCTTAGCTAGTGATGAGTTTCTTTATTCTTGTGACCTCAAAGTTTGATTCAGAGGTGATATTGTAAGAAGAAATTAGATTCTAGTCACTCAAAAGGGTTAAATAGTTAAGGCTTTTACAGAATAAATTTAAGCTTGTTTCCATTTATGCCCTCATTTTAATTTTTGAGACTATGCAAATGAAAATAACACAGTTAGCTGTTGCATTTGCATGATGCTTGTTGGAATCTATGGCTGTCTTCCTTGATCCTTTTTCCCAACCCTCTCTATCATAGCAATAGTTAATTTATTACATCTACATGTACATGTACTTCTCTTGAATAAATAAAATAAAACCCTTAGTAAATTGGTGATGAGAAGAGTAGGCATCAGAGTGTTTATGTTTAGAAAAACAAATTATCTGAACCAATTTTTTTAGGGTTGTGTTGATGCTAGAAGAGAGGGTGATGATCAGACCTTAGGAATTAAGGGATATGAAAAATAATTTTCATCATTCAGAAATGGTCAAATTCATGGCGTTGACCCAAAAGGTTATGGCTAGATCTAAGTAGGACTGATTCAGGCAAGTTTATTAACCCTTAAAATCCTGAGATCTGAGTTTTGATTCTCCCTTCTAGCTGCTACACAATTTCTTGTAAACAAGTTATGAGAATTTGGTGTTAGATCAAGATAACCTTAACCTGATAAGTTTGAGTATTCTCATTACCTGTTTACTGAATATTGCATGGATATTATTTGGAGAAGTTACATGTTAATCACTTCTGGGAGTTAAAGGATTAATTCTCTAAATCCTATTTGTTCATTACATTTTCTGTGTTTTTAATCTGTTTTTATTGCTCTTTTTCAGATGTCAATGACTTTAAAGAACTGTTGAATGCTGCTTCTGGTAGAATGAAGAAGCGGTCACTGTTTGATGAGAGGACAGAAAAGGCATCAGCCAGTCAGTATTTTCAGGTGAGGAAGATGATCACAGCATAAATATCTACTAGATCATATTATAACATAGCTAGTAAATTTTTGTAATCAAATTCAATTGCGCGAGCATGCTTCATATTCCTATTGTGCACACTCATGATGTCCGCAAACAAATCCCTCAAGAAAAACAAATTTTCTATCGGGTTGAAAATGTTATAAAATAATTGTTTCATACATCAGCTGGGCGTTCATCGAGATATGAAGCACTTGGGAAGTTTGGAGAGCACTCAAGAAGCTAGAGTTGCTCTCGGCTATGCCTTGAGCAACTCTTATGCATCTTTTGTGCTCTCCAAACTTCCGGTGTGCTTCATATCTCGATGAATGCACGCTGACATATGAACTAATTGTTAAGCATAGATCATGTGATGATGACAGCATGAATCTTTGCAACCTACATTTAGGTATCACTTCTCCTCTGCAGTTAGATGTAATTAGAATAAAGAACCTTATCTGCAACTGTATTGATTTTCTTTCCCATTTTTTCCAAGCTTGTGACAAAATAGAGGTCAACTTGGTTTTTTTTTTCTGATAAGTGAACTCAAAGAAATAAAACAGCAAAAAATATGCTATTACTCTAAGAAGAGATATAGCAAGAAAGTTACTTACAGTAACGCTTGCTTATACGTTAACTGAAAAACAGAATTAAACATGCCAAAAATCACATGCAATTGCAAATAAAAAAAATCGTGTGCATCAAAAAATCGCACATGCACGCAAAACCTTGAGACATCAGCCTCAGTAGTATCTATGAAGTAGTCCCTCTGTTTTCTATTGTTGGCGGTTTATTGTTTCAAAGAATAGGCTACAATGTAATGATGTACAGGCAACTTTTAAAAGCAGAATGGGATGAATACCAGGGCCTAGAGCCTAGAGGAACTCGGGAGGTTTTCTCTATTTTTCTATTTATTTATGTGGTACCGTCTGATGAAAGAAATATGCAGTACTTGTGTTAATTGAAAAATGTTAAACTTTGTGATGGCCTCTCTCACCATAGAGTTTTCTGTAGCTTAGTGAAAGAGCATTAGGATCTGAAGTCCAAAGTCTGGGTGGGGGTTCCTCATGACTCATGAGTTACTCACATTTTTTCTTTGTGTTGTGCTTGTGGTAAAATAAAGATCTTTCTTAAACATTATTTTTCATTATACAGTAGCAAAATCCACAGCAGCATGCTTAAAAAAATATTATCTGATTTGAATCACATCTGTTATCAATATTTTATTTTTCTCATTTATATACATTGTAAGTGGCTGTTTTTAATTTCATCCATTTTTTTAACTTAAATTTTTTTTTTCGCAGTTTTATGGATATTTATCACAGCAACAAAACATGATGCAGGTAAATGGAAGCTGGCGTTTTTTAAATTTGTTTGACAAAGGCAGAAATAACTGCAAATCTTGACCATTAATTTTAAAAATTACAAGAACACAAAACCATTCTAAGATAAATATTGTCAAGTAAATAATGGCACTGTTTTTTGTCTCTCAGCCAAAACAATGATGTAAACAAACACGTAAATATTCAAATGTTAAATTGAATTAAATAAAAAATGTCAAAGATGTTTTTATTTAAAAAAATGCAAAAAGTATTAAGTGTAATTTGCACAGTTGAATATAGGCAAATTCTTTCAGTGCAAAATAGCAGGCGGAAAAGTAATCAGCAATGCAGGTTGATATTAAAATATTGATCTATGTAATAGTAATATGCAGTAGAAGTATATTAGCCTTTAATTATTTGAGGGGTCTTTTACCCTTGAACTTCCAGAAGTGATTGATATGTATTAAGCTTCCCTACTGACAATATCCATACATCATCCCACAAACAGGTAATGAGAATGCTCAAACTTATCCAGTAAAAGTTGTTACTTGATTTAAATTCTTGTGGCTAATTTACAAAGAAATGTGTGACAGCTAGAGGGGAGAATTTAAAACCAGATCTTGGGAGTTAAAGGGTTTTACTTGCTCTTGTAGGGAGTGAGAGTATTTTATTGTGATGATATGGATTTCAAATTTGTTTGAAGCTTATTGCAAAACCTTGATTGCTTTCACGGTATTGGATGCTGTCTTGTTGTTGTGCATCTAATATAAGGTGTCAGTCATGTACTGTGTTCCAAAATTGAGTTCTAACTTCAGATAAGTTTGCTATTGATTCTAGAGCTCCCCTTGCTGTTTCCGTAATCCAGTCTTTTATACCCTGAATTGCATTGAGGATGTGTTCACTCTTTTCTCAGTGCTATGGAGCTTTGCAAGTATTTACAAACTAGGAAATTTTCAGATGATTTTGGCATGTCTTTGTGTGTAAGGTTGTAAATGGGTTAACATATTAGTTCTTCATATTTTAAACCTCTCTCTCAATCAAACAGGATTATGTGAGAACCTCCACATATCAAAGAGCAATGTTGCAGAATCACACTGACTTTCAGGATAAGGTAATTGGGTGGTATTTTTGAAGTCTTGCCATGAAATCTATTTACTTACTGGGAAACAGTTGTTTTGTAAATCAAAGGAAGTCTGAATGTACCCCAGCCAAAGGGCTGATTTAGTTAGAGCTTACATGTATCTCAGTTTCCATAACATGAAGTGAATTGGTGTATTACCACTTCCCTTTGGATGGGATTCTGGTTCATGCAAGGTTACCCTTCCCCAGCATGTCATCAGGCTTACTTAAGAATTCAGTGGTACAGTCAAATCTTGATTATCCAGACTTGTTGGGACTAGACAAAATAATCCAAATAATCAAGGGTCCAGATAATTGAGAATATGAATGTAGGCCCATCAGACCTCACTTGATTGTCCTTCATCAGTTACGATGCATGTAAGAGCTGCTTTTGCCTTTTCAAAGTGAAACAAACTTACCTTTACTTCACTTTTCAGCATTGTAGTTTTAAAAAGATTATGGCTACGGATCTCAGTCATGACTAATAAATATTTTTAATGAAATTGGGACCAGAGGAAAAGTCCAGTTAATCAAGAAATTGGGATAAACAAGGTCTGGATAATCGAGGTTCAACTGTATCCATTCATACTCTGGGGTGAAAATAGGCACTGTCAGAGTAAAGTGTTTTTCCCATGAACACAACACATTGACTTGGCCAGGTCTTGCACCAAACCTCTGGTCTTGGGGTCCGGTGCACTTAAAATTAGGCCACAGTGCCTCCAATGATTGATTGGTTTTTAATATTTAAGTTAGGTACTAGTTGATCTAATACCCCGTTCACACCAAAGCTTAAACATGTTTAAAACTTGTTTTGATAAACAGATTTAATAAGACAGGCCGTTCACACTGCGGCTGCATTTAACAAAACACATCTAAAACCATGCTTAATAAAACTACCTCACAGTGTAGTTTAACAATCATGTTTAATAATACACATTCAAAATGGCGGCAGAAACCAAAATGCGCGGAAGAGTTGGAGCACAAAGAAACCCTCCTGTTACTTTGCACAATTTTCTGCGATTTTTCGGCTTTCTTCTGTCTCTGTTTTCCAATATAAAAGCACAATAGTTTGCCCATCTGCCATTTTGTTTACATTTTACATGTTGTGGCTGTATGATGTTGTAACATTTTACATCAATTACAATTACATGAACGTGAGGCTGAGCACAAACATGAGGCTGCATTGTTGTCAGCTCTTGTTGTTCAGTGTGAATGGGTTAATCAGTTAACCATGTTTAATTAAACATGGTTTCATTAAACTTTGTTTAATTAGACATGTTTTGATGGTGTGAACGGGTCATAAGACTCTTTCTTTCCTTGAATTTTTCCTATTTCTGTCAAATTCTTTTTCATAATCTCTCCTGCCTCTCTTTTTGTTTGCAGGTGGTGATCGATGTTGGGGCTGGATCAGGTATAATACACCAGTCTGTGATGCATGAGTATTAACATTATTGTGGTGGATGGAACTTTTAGTCTCAAGAAAAGCAAGTCCTGTCTGTTTTTTAAGACTGGTTCCTGAAGCCACCTCAGCTTAGTCCACTTTCTTTCTTTATCCACAGGAATCCTTTCATTCTTTGCTGTGCAGGCAGGAGCCAAAAAAGTTTATGCCATAGAAGCCAGCTCGATGGCCTCACATGCAGAGGTGTGTACAGTGTCTGGCTATCAGACGTGTTGCTGTTATAAGTTTATTTGCTAGCACAGTGGGAGTCCTATTGATTGTTTGTTAGTTTTTTGTTATACTAAGGAATATTTAGTTTGTTAGAAATTAATTTTACTTGTTAACTAGTCTCAGTTAGTAACTTTAATCACTATGGACAACATACAGTTTAGGTGCCTGTTGTACTGCTAAAAATCAATGTTCCAGTGCTAGTGGTCATTGTTTTTTGAAGCTGTAACCTTGGTTGAGGTTGTTGTCGTTAGAGTCGAGAGAAATGTTGATTGCCAGTTGAATAAGTTACATGTAGTTACTTCCCCTCAAGATATGTAAACTCTTTCATGAAAATAAACTATTTTTTTAAAAATCTTGTTCGTAGGCTTTGGTCAAACACAATAATCTTTCAGACAAAGTGATTGTGATTCCTGGAAAAGTTGAAGAGGTAAGTTCCAGTTAAGCTCAAGATAAAAATTTCCCCTAGCAAAGTAAGATAAAACCAATGCACTCCTGGATTGCTGCCAAAAATGAATCAGACTTTGGGAGGAAACAATTAACCCTTTTTCGAGCTTTGGAATTAACAATTTCCTGGTTTTTCTTCCTTTTTTTTGTTTTTCTTTTTGCAGGTAGAGATTCCAGAGATGGTAGATGTTATCATATCAGAACCAATGGGTTATATGCTTTACAATGAAAGAATGTTGGAGAGTTATCTTCATGCTAAGAAATGGCTTAAACCTGATGGTAAGCATTCTGACTCTCTTGCAAGTCTTTTTTTCTCTTGTAGTCAGGACGCATGATCCAGCCTAGGGATAAATGGATGAAAGGTACATGTGAACAGACCTGCTGGTATCTGGTCATTGGCTGCAGGATTTTAAGAAAAGCAAAATAAAATGAAACAAACCGACAAATACAAAAAATAGAATAAGATTGTTTCATCTCTTGATTTTTTTTTTTTTTTTGTGAAGGTAAAATGTTTCCAACAACCGGTGATCTGCATGTGGCTCCATTTTATGATGATGCACTTTATATGGAACACTTCTCCAAAGCAAACTTTTGGTGAGCATTGTTTGTTTACTGATGTTACAAAACTATTTTGGTTACAACTTAGCAATATCTCCTTTGTTAAAGATCTTGTTTGTGGCATGATGATTGTGTAGAATGGTTGTACTGTCCTGAAGACATCCCTTCTGTTGGTGTTTTTTTTTCCTCACAAATTTATGTCAGTTGAACAACTTTAATTTGAATTGCAAGAATAAATTGGAAATTTTGTACCCAAAAGTATGTTTTTTTTTTTTTTTTTTTTTTTAATGGAAGCTTTTCTAATCCTCCCCAGTAGTGTTTCTTGTGAGTTTTTCTGACCACTTCTTAAACCCTTTGACTCCTTAGAGTGACCAGCATCAAATTTTTCCTTACAATATCACCCCTGAATCAAACATTTATTTCATGAGAATAAAGGAAATGATCTCCAACTAACAAAGCTCTAGATTGTTAAACAAATTCTCCTTGTCAGCATCATAAAGGATGTATAGAGAACAGTATGGAGAATATGCATACTGATGTTATAGTGTAAAGGGTAAAACTTGTACATGTATAGTGAACATTTGGAGAGGGGTGACAGTGCATTGAGCTTCTGATGTTGTTTTACAGCTTTTCTGGGATGCTGAGTGATATTATCTTTGATTATTGTAATTTATTCGTTATTGGTAGCTTATTTAGCCTCTTGTAATAATTATTGCTAAGTTAGCATTGTTGTTCATGTATGTACTAGGTATCAGAATTCATTCTATGGAGTTGATTTGTCTAATTTGAGAGAATCTGCAATTGAAGAATACTTCAGGCAACCAATTGTGGTAAGCTTTCCTGCTTTTGATTGTTTTTTGTTTACTTTAGTTGAAGATCCTTGAAAGAGTCTTTCAATTAAAAGATGTCAAATTCTAGATATGTTAACTCATGACTAAATTTGAAACTTACATTTCCAAATGATCTGGACTGGCATTTTGATGTGGTTGAGCATGGAAATTGGAGGTACTTATTTGTGATGTTGTTCTACCAGTCAAAGAACAATATAAAGCCAAAGTTACTTTTATCATATCATGAGAATGGATTAAGACTGAAGATGATCTTAAGTGTACCACAAGGAAGCCAGAAAGAGACTTTTGTAATCAGAACTGTCTCAGACTAAAGCAATTTGTGTCTGAATAAACTTTAAAAAAAGTGGCTCGGCAATATCCTTATCTCAAACTGAATGGAAACATTTATCAGTTCTGCAAATCATATGTAGCTCAAAGGTGTTATACTGGACAGAGTTGATTATAATACCATGAAGTAGCTCCTTCAATGCATGGCTCAGGATCGCTTGTGAGGAGACAGTTTTCTCAGAGCCCACAGTACCATGCAAGACTGAATCAGGGCACCTTAACGATCATCTGCCTTGTGTCACTTAGGTCTGATGCTGAATAGGTTGTCACAATTTCAGCCTTTTTTGTAACATGTCAGATATTTCTCTCAAGTTCTGAATTGGTAATGGCTCTGCAGGATTGTAGCTCTGAAATGAGGCTGCTGGCTGATATTTCAAGTGAGATGCTCAAAGATTGAGTACAATATTGAACAAAAATCAACCAGAAAATCAAATATTTTTTATCAGGCAAATTTTGGAGGTATCCATTGCTTAGCATTGACCCTGAGTTCTGTCAAACATGTTACTACATCATTTTAGGAGAATGGTAGCTTGATTTTAATCATGCTAGATTATTTAAGCTTGCAAGTATTGGATTTAAGTGTTGATCTGAGTCACTGGATTCTGCAATTGAGAATAGCCCTTAAGAATTTTAAAATGCATTTTTTTCACCCAGAATATCTCTTAAATGTGCATTTTGTTTATTTATTTGTAATGATTAACCTTGAATAAGATTATTTCCTTTGTAACAGGATACGTTTGATGTACGCATTCTGATGGCCAAACCTGTGACACACACTGTAAATTTTCTTAGTGCCGCTGAAGAAGATTTGCACAGGTAGTCAAAGATAACAAGATCACAATCTAAAAATTGTAGTTGCTAAAATTAACATCTGATCAGTAGCACGATCCAGGGTGGCAAAGCATGTTTACGAAAACCATAT